GTGCGTGCGTGCGTGTGTGCGTGCGTGCGTGCGTACGTGTGTGCGTGCGTGCGTGTGTGCGTGCGTGCGTGTGTGTGTAACAGCAATGCTTGCTTGCTTGTGCAGACATCCCCGTTACACAGAGTGGGTACATCGAGCAGGCGGTGCAGGAGCTGCTACAGCTGTGTGTGTGTGTATGTACGTACGTGTGTGTGTACGTACGTGTGTATGTACGTACGTGTGTATGTACGTGCGTGTGTGTGTATAACAGCAATGCTTGCTTGTGCAGACATCCCCGTTACACAGAGTGGCTACATCGAGCAGGCGGTGCAGGAGCTGCTACAGCCCGTGGTAGACGCCACCAGCAAGCTGCCAATGGAAGCACAGATCACTGCTCTCAGCATAGCTGTAGTCGCGCTGTGCGAGGCGTGGACCGCCTTCATACTCAAGGAACGCGTCCGCTTCAGGTGCGCACACTAGTACTGGTGCCGCTGCCTCTGCAGCTGCCGAATAATCCTAATAATGTATAATTAATATCGTATATTGACATTAGCATAGCTGATGTATATTAGCGTTTCACTGTGTCTTTGCTGCAGCCTGCACGGAGCGCGTTAGCTGTCACTGTCTTATATTAACATTATTATTATAACTATTAAAGGGATACAACACCCTAGATTTTTAGAGTATATTATGATAGTAAGTGCATAAATAATAGCATATACCTAGAAATTTCTATAATCATTCATTCACATTTGTCGTAAAACAACAGTGAGTTTCGAAATCTTTATTTTTGGCCGCTGACATGACACCCCGCGATTGTGCTGCCATCCTGACAAAGTTGCACTTTAGACCAAGGGCTTATCACAAAATTGCAATTATATTTATGCCTAACTGCTAATAAGAAACATCCTCAGTCTGTAGCCTGCAGCCGAAAAATTGTGATGCGCAACTTTGAAAGCAGATGGGCTAGTAGTGGCGCCACCATTGTTGTGAGCAACGATACAGCCGTTAGTTTTAAAACATTTTGTTTTATTTCTAATGAATATTGAACAGTGAAATTTTTTATGTAGCGTAATTTAAACACATTTTAATTGAAAATATGCAAAGAACCTGGGGTCATGTGTGCCTTTAATTATTAACATTGTGTCTGTGCACCCTTCAGCCTTCACGGAGCGAGTCAGCTTGCTGTGGACGTCGCCTACGTGCGCACGTGGCTCGGCCGCCTCACTGACCTTGACCATGAAGCCATGCAGAGCTTGCAGTCGCTCGAGATCTTCAAGTATCTGAACGGGGCCGTACGTCTGCTGCTGCGGCAGCCGTGTAAGAAGCGCGGCGGCGATCATCGCAAGGACGTCAGCGACGATATCAGTGAGTGTTGGTTGGCAGTCAGTGTCTCTGTAGCGAGCTGTGTGTGTGTGTGTGTGCGGTCCGTCGACGGAGTTTATGGCGGTCGTGCTCGATCGTGTCGTGTGTTTACTATGATGTTTGGGTTATCGTATGTTATTATATCTATTCTACATTGTTATATGTACTCTATACATTATGATATATGTTTATGTATACATTATGATATACTTGTATGTGTACATTATGATATATGTGTATGTGTACAATACATTTACATCCTAATACATCTCGAGCTGCCGTTTATGTCTGAGTGTCTAGTTTATGTTTCGTCATCGGTATTCTGACGACCGGGGCATGATGAGGGCATATTGCATCGTCGCGTCACAGTCCGAGCCGCGTTAATCCATGGGCGTTAACTGTCCGTCTGTAGACAGATTTCCGTCTTTAGAAAAATTATGATTTTTTTTTTGGAATTGGGGAAAAATTGAAATTGATAATTTTTTACAATTTTTCCGGTCCCCACTTTTCCGGTCCCCATGCTAATCCGTCGCGGGTGACAGTTGTCCATAATGTGTCGATAATGTTTATGCGAGCGCGTGCATTGAGATGCGCTGCGTCTCTGCAAGTTTTCAATGCGCGAGAGCGAGAGCGAGTGAACAAGGGAGCGAGCGAGCTAGCGAGGGGCGCATTAGCTGGGTTCGCAACTCGGTCATACGTATAGAAGCGTGTTCGCGCGGATCAATGCCTGCCTGTGTAGCGTTCGTGCTGATGTTTTCAGTTCAAGTGCGAGGCTTTTACTAAATCTCACGTGGGTAGACTGTCATTCAGAGCTAGTGATCAAAAGGAGGTTATTTGAACTTTCTCGAGTCGAGGAAAAAAGAGGAATATAATTTTGCCAACATAACCAACAGAATAAAAAATGTTAATACTAATTCTTCATCATCTAATCCTAATCATGTTTAAAAAGTTTTCAAAATGCTGTTTAATATGGATCATTATGGATAATTTGATTAATATAATTTCGCTAACATAACTAACAGCTTTAAATTTGTTGTAACATGTTGTTCATTATTAAAACTGTCACTGAAATGTAAAAAAATATGTTCCGGAACTTGAAACAATGTGTCGTGTGACCGTGATAAGTGATTAGACTATTACGAGATTGTTCAGAATGTAGAGTAGATTAAGTGGTTAATGTCGAGTCGCCGTGCAACAAGACATCTAACGCTGCGTGTATTTTGTTCGCAGACCAAGAGCTTAAGTGTAGAGAGCTGCTGCCGCTGCTACTGCCCAGCCTATCGTGTGTGCTCGCCACTCTCACGCTCGCCACCAACTGGTCGCGAGTCAAGGCCACTCAGTTCCTCAGCTCGTGGTCACTCGGACCTTTCCTGCTCATCACACAAACCGATCTCAAGGTGTGTAGATGGTATCGGATGCACACCGGCGAGTCCCAACCTTACTCAGAGACCCCCACCCCGCCAGTTTACTAAACAGTCTACTAACGTTTACTAAGTACTAAGTGTCTAAAGTGAAACTTAAGTCTACAAAAGGTCTATAGCTAGGCAACGACTTAGGCTACAGTCTATAGTAGGCAACTACAGACTACTAAAGTCTACAAAGTACTAAGTCTAACGTACAACTAAAGTCTACAGTAGTCTAAAGTTAGGCAACGACGTTGGCTGCAGATGACGGTTGGTCGCTGCAGTATGAGTCGAGCATGTGTTAGTGGACAGAATAAATGCTAACAGACATCTCTAAAGAGTAAACGTCTGTCTATACGGGGCTTTTAGCATTGCTCCTGAGTGGGAGTTATACGGGGAATCCATGTTTATAGAATGGAAATCTATCTATAAAGGAGATTCCCTTGATTGACCCATATACGGTGAAGCCCCTTCTATAGAACGGTCGCTGTCTATAAAGCAGACTTCCAGGGTTTCCCTAGAGTGTGTACAGATGTAACTGTCTATCTGTCTGTAGTGCTGATGAGAGCGTATTTATCACGTGCCTTATTGCTGACAACCGTTAGTAACAATTTCAGGGGCGGATCCAGAGGGTTTGGGTGACCAGTTTCCATATGTTCTTCTGCAGCTAGGAGGTCCGGGGGCATGCCCCCCGGGAATTTTTTTAAAATTAGGTTATATTTGGTGCATTCTGGTGAATTTTGAGGCTTGTGACCGGTTTCTGGAAACTGGTGCAAACCGGCCTAAATCCGCACTTGAATTTGTTGGGACAGATAACTAGATTTACCTGGTCTTCTATTAATAAAGCATGTAAAGAAGCTGCATGCAAGAATGCAAGAACGGTGATTTTAGAAAGCCACTCCATTATTTACATTTTATGAATTACTTTCTAAAATTTTATTTTTATTTTCAAAAAATGTTATCAACTGCTGACTCAAGATCAACTCATTTATAAGAATTCTAGCTCTGAAAAGTAATCTCTCGCACGCTCGCTCCTCGTTCACCGTGACGCCGCGTGTAGCGCTGTCGTCTTGTTTTCATCGTGCGAACACACTCACTTTAGATGCTGTCCGACGTGAATAGACGATTTCTCCTCCTCCTCCTCCTCCTCCTCCTGCCCCTCCTCCTCCTGCCCCTCGTCCTTCTCCGTCTCCTCTTCCTGCCTCGCTTCTTCCTCCTTCTGCCCCTCCTCTTACTTTTCCTCCTCCTGCCCGTCCTCTTCTTCCTCCTGCCCCTCCTCTTCCTCCTCCTCCTCCTGCCCCTCCTCCTGCTCTTCCTCCTGCCCCTCCTCTTCCTTCTCCTAACGCTGTCTTCTTGTTTTTTTATCGTGCGCACCCGCAGATGCTGTCTGACGTCAACCGACGACTCTTCTATCTCGGCCAGCCCAACGTACACAAGCTGCACTCGGAGCTCGACCAGCTCCTGCTCGGCAGTCCGCCGCCAGGTGGCGCCTGCAACGCCGTCGTGCTGCAGACGATTCGCAGCGTCGACGTCGTCTGGCAGCAGCTGCACGACGGAGCGTCCGCGCTGCAGGTTTGTTTGTTTCGTCGCCCCGGCAACCGAGCGTTTTTTTCGTCACCCTGGCAACCAAGCATTTGTTTTGTCGCCCTGGCAACCGAGCGTTTGTTTTGTTGCCCTGGCAACCGAGCATTTCTATCGTCGCCCTGGCAACCGAGCATTTCTTTTGTCACCCCGACAACCGAGCGTTTGTTTCGTCGCCCTGGCAACCGAACGGTCACCATCGCAAATGCCACGCACAGAAATGGACCGGCAGACGAACGGGGTCAGATATCGTTCGTAGACGCGCGCACGGACGGCGGCGTATTGGCTCACTGCGGCTTGACTCGCTTTTGAAATCATTTCCTCGAGCGAACGCAACTTGCGGGAGAGGAGGAAGGGGGGTCTAAATTTCCCCTGGTACATGATTGTGGCCTGAGGCAGCCGGAAGGGAGGGGAGAGGGAAGGGAGGAAGGGAAAGGGTTAGAGGGAAGGGAGGAAGGGGAGCGGGGGGAGATACCCAATCACGCCATTATCTCTGTAAGGAAATGTCTAATTAGTAAAGGCACGCGGTCGGTTCTTAATGTAGTGTGATGTATGTTGCCGGTCTATTGATAGCAATATATTGATCTATCAGTTTGATATATTGATGGTATATTGAACAGATGCTAACAACTCCATAGCGCGCACGTTGAACTGTAAATATGATCCTGGCTGCACGAGTTCCCCACGTCACGAAACACGATCTTTCCCCATTTTTTCCCGATGAGAATCTAAAACATCCCCGTAGATTGACAGGCGGGCACTGTTGGCACACGTGAAGCCTGGCATGCTTGATTAGCAATTAGTGACGATAATTGAGTAGATGGAAACGACAACACGACCAGCCGATTGCGTCGCCGTCTGCGAATTTCTATCCTCGGGGGGGTTACTATGTATGCCGGTATTACCCCATGTGCGTTCGAAATTTTTGCGGGTTAGGGGGCTGTTTTCCAACTTCTAAAGCGGGCCCGCGCGGGAGAAAATAGGCCCCCCTTTACAAAGCTAATCCCGCAATAAGCCCTCGGGATCGTTCAAGTCAAGCACTGCGCCCGCAGTAGGCCCCCCTTACGGGCCCCCTCCATTCCCTCCACTTGTCTGCAAGACATCACAATAGGGGGTAGGGTCCGGGTAGGACTCTTTCATTGTGCATGCAATAGGGGGTGGGATATTTTCATTGTGTATGCAATAGGTGGTGGTATTCTTCAATTGTGTCTGCAATAGGGGGTAGGGTTTTCCAATGTGCAGTTCGCACTAGGGGGCCTATTATTTTTAGTGAGAACGCACATGGGGTAATACCGGCATATATAGTGACCCCCCCCCCCCGGGTTTATATCCTTCCGTCACGCAAGGAACATGCGCCGTGGCTGCGTTTGATAGCAGTGGCAGTGGACAACGTATAAGCTCTAGCCAACGAGTTAACCTTCCGCTTCTCACGACGTGAACGCAGTCAGTAAGGCTGGTCGGGTTTACAATGTAACATCTACATCTACGATCTACTTCTACTTCTACATCTACATCTAGGCATCGTACATCTACGTCTGGCATCTACATCGTTGCACCACATCATCTACATCTCATCTACATCTCATCTAAGCTCTACCATCATACTTCTACATCTACATCTACACCTACATCTGTACTTCTTACTCTACATCACATCTACATCTACATCTACTCTACATTTAACATCTGCATTAACTCTAGCATCCTTACATCACAGTCTACATCTACATTAACATCTACAATGCTACATCTACATCTGCATCTTGCAGATCCTACAGATCTAACATCTACATCTACAATTACATCTACAATCACCTCTAACATCTACATCTACATCTCAACCTACATGCTACATCTACATTCTACATTACATCTACAATCATACATCGTACTTCTAACATCTTACAGTCTACATCTACTTCTCCTTTCTACCTCTACACTCTACATCTTACATCTATTTGACGCATCTAAGCACATCTACATCATCACATCACATTCTACATCTGAACTACTCTGCATCTACATCTACATCTACATCTACATTCTAACACCTACACTACACCTACATCTAGCATCTAACATCTACACCTTACATCTACAGTTACATCTCATCTACACCTCATCTACATCTATACACCTACACCTACATCTACACCTACGCTCTACATCTAAACACATTACATACTTACATCTACATCTAACATCCTACATCTACATCTACATCTACATCTACACCTAACCTACACTCCTTACACCTAACACTACATCTACCTCTACACCTTACATCTACATCTACATCCTACGTCTAACCGTCCTTAACACGTTTCAGTAGTCTATCAATCGATATCAATCAATCAATCGTAATATCGATATCAATATTGATAGACTCCTGCGTTTCTCACACAGATGCTATCCAGTACGCTCATCAGACTGTTCTCGGCCGCCTGCAAGCAGAGAGCCACCGAGTACTTTCAAGCCGGAATGCCCACCGGCAAAGTCTGGCGCCGCAAGGGCAACAGTGGTACGTAGATGGGTTCGTCTCTCTCGCTTGCATTCACTCACTCGTTATAGTTTGTGAGTCCGGGAAGCCGTGTGTGTGTGTGTGTGTGTGTGTGTCACAGTGTGTGTGTCACAAGTGTGTGTGTGTGTGTGTGTGTGTGTGTGTGTGTGGTGCGTGTGTGTGTGTGTGTGTGGTGTGTGTGTGTGTGTGGTGTGTGTGTGTGTGTGTGCGCGCGCGCGCTCGCGTGTGCGTGTGTGTGAGAGTTCGCGCGGGAATGTTCGGTGAAAGAGAGAAGAGTGGTTGTGCGGTGAAAACGCCGCGTGTTTTGTGTGTTGGACGTGTGATGTCTGTGTTGGGCGTGTTTTGTGTGGTGGGCGTGTTTTGGGGGTCGGTACGTCCGTGCGTTATGCTGAAGATGAATGCTGGCAGTAAAGTGGTTGTTGGTGGTGGTGGTGCATCGACCCACACTCCAGGCTGGTGAAATGTCGCACAAGTGCTGATATCAATACATAGAAAAATCCATTTCTTGTGTTCTCAATGCTTTCTGTGTGTGGGGCGTGTGTGCGTGCGTGCGTGCGTGCGTGCGTGTGTGTGTACGTGTGTGTTGGGTAAATGGGGCTATTAGCAGTTTACACCCACCCACTGTAGGTGCCTCCTATTCATATTAAAATCATCTACAGGATTTAAATTGCAATTCGATACTTGTAGTGTTGGGTGGGGGGGTGCCCCGCATTAAATACCAAACATTTTGAATAAGGTTGCCTTGGTACGGGGTTTGAACTGTATCGTTGACTTGTCACTAATCCTGTTGCTACTATGTAAACTACCATTATCACTAATCATGCGGCCAGAATGTAAGCTCTATTTCCTTGGGGATATTTGCATAATGCATGCATATTTTATTCATGTAATCATGTATTAACCCGTACGTTCTTATGTATGTGTGTGTGGGTGTGTGGGTGCGTGGGCGTATATGCGTGCGTGTGTGCGTGGCGTGCGTGCGTGCGTGCGTGCGTGGGTTGCGGTGCGCTGCGTGCGTGGGGGCGTGCGTGCGTGTGTGCGTGCGTGCGTGTGTGCGTGCCGTGCGTGTGTGTGTAACAGCAATGCTTTGCTTGCTTGTGGCAGACATCCCCGTTAAACAGAGTGGCTACATCGAGCAGGCGGTGCAGGAGCTGCTACAGCTGTGTGTGTGTGTGTATGTACGTACGTGTGTGTGTACGTACGTGTGTATGTACGTACGTGTGTATGTCGTGGCGTGTGTGTTGTAATAACAGCAATGCTTGCTTTGTGCAGACATCCGGTTACACAGAGTGGCTACATCGGCAGGCGGGTGCAGGAGCTGCTACAGCCCGTGGTAGACGCCACCAGCAAAGCTGCCAATGGAAGCACAGATCACTGCTCTGAGCATAGCTGTAGTCGCGCTGTGCGAGGCGTGGACCGCCTTCATACTCAAGGAACGCGTCCGCTTCAGGTGCGCACACTAGTATCGGTGCCGCTGCCTCTGCAGCTGCCGAATAATGCTTAATAATGTATACTTAATATCGTATATTGACATTAGCCTAGCTGATGTATAGTTAGCGTTTCAGCATGTGTCTTTGGCTGCAGCCTGGCACGGAGCGCATTAGCTGTCACTGTTTTATATTACCATTATTATTATAACTATTAAAGGGATACACACCCCTAAGATTTTTAGAGTATATTATGATAGTAGAGTGCATTAATAATAGCATATACCTAGAAATTTCTATATCATTCATTCACATTTGTCCGTAAACAACAGTGAGTTTCGAAATTCTTATTTGTGGCCGCTGACATGACACCCCGCGATTGTGCTGTGCCATCCTGACAAAGTTGCACTTTAGACCAGGGCTTATCACAAAATTGCAATTATATTTATGCTATCTGCTAATAAAGAAACATCCTCAGTCCTGTAGCCTGACAGCCGAAAAATTGGTGATCCGCAACTTTGAAGCAGATGGGCTAGTAGTGGCGCCACCATTGTTGTGTAGCAACGATACAGCCGTTAGTTTTAAAAACATTTTGTTTTATATTTCTAAATGGAATATTGAACAGTGAAAATTTTTTATGTAGCGTAATTTTAAACACATTTTAATTGAAAATATGCAAAGAACCTGGGGTCATGTGGTGCCTTTAATTATTAACATTGTGTCTGTGCACGCCTTCAGCCTTCACGGAGCGAGTCAGCTTGCTGTGGACGTCGCTACGTGCCGCTGACGTGGCTCGGCCGCCTCACTGACCTTGACATGAAGCCGATGCAGAGCTTGCAGTCCGTCGAGATCTTCAAGTATCTGAACGGGGCGTACGTTCTGCTGCTGCGGCAGCCGTGTAGAAGCGCGGCGGCGATCATCGCAAGGACGTCAGCGACGATATCAGTGAGTGTTGGTTGCAGTCCAGTGTCTCTGTAGCGAGCTGTGTGGTGTGTGTGGTGTGCGGACCGTCGACGGAGTTTATGGCGTCGTGCTCGGATCGTGTCGTGTGGTTTACTATGATGTTTGGGTTAATCGTATGTTATTTATATATATATTCTACATTGTTATATGTACGTCTATATGTATATATATATGAGAGATATACAATTATGTTATATATATATGTATTTTTATGTGTATTATTATATGCCTATATATATATATATATATATAAATAATATGTTATATTATATGTATTGTATATTATATATATTATTATTGTTATTCATATGTGTTTTTGTGAGTCTTTTGAGTGCGTACAGTGACTTCAGTAAAGGGTTCGTTTGAAAGCTGTCGTTACTACCTTTATTGCTCTTCTGCCTCACCATGTACATATTATCACCTGTATATATTGATGACAAACTCAGTCTGAGCTAAACGACTCTTTAATAATAACGATATCTTGTTGCTCTTCATCGTTGGTATTCTGTATTATATAACTTATGGTTTTCCAACTCTGTATCTGCAGGTTTGGAGAGCCCTTCTTCAACGCAGACCGTCGATCAGGCGGTGAACTTAAGCACCAACAGCCCCGTGGGGCACACGTCCCCGGGAGCGGAGGATTTCCCGGACAGTTCGCTGGACGAGGGACACTACCACATACCCAACAAGGAAGACTGGCTGTCGCTGCGCGTGCACGGTGGCGCCCCACGGTGGAGGCTTCCAACACTCGCTTGTCTCAACTCAGGTAGTGATGACCAGCGATAGATACACAGGTAGTTTAACCGCTTAGGTTACAGGTATATTACAGGTAGATTACAGCTTAGTCTATAGCTTACAGGTAGTAAGTCTGTCAAAGTCCGGCGGTCGTAAGAGCGTGTAGTGGACCGCGCACGTTCTGCTGTGACGACATACCGATGAGGTTGTCACGGTGATTTGTCACACGAGTTTGATCGTGGTTCTGGCTAACATGTACAGCTGGTTTGTCTGTAGGGAACATGTCATATAATATAATATATATATATATATAATATATTATATATTATGTAACGGCACCCCGTCTCTCACCTGAACATCAATGTATAACCCCCATGTCTATCTGCTATAGCTAGTGGTTAGACTCTACTTAAACGATCACAACGAACGCTGTTGCGAGGTTGCCCCCGTGCGAATATTTTTTGTTTAAATGCGTTCGCTTTCGCGTGTGGTTTCTAAGAGTGACATTGAATTTTGTATAGGTTAAAAGCAGGTAAGTGTACGTGCGTTGTTAAGATGAATACGAAAGAGCGAATTTGAGGCAGCTAGGGTTATGAAAGAACGTCTATGTTCTCTGGGACTGGTGAGGATGCAAGTGCGTGTTACATGTTCCACACGATGCAATAAATTTTATTAATAAGTGGCAAGCTGGTTAACTGGCTCTTGATTAGCCACCTATGAAGATTTGTCTCTTGACTAATCAGCTATAAATCTTAGTAGGACAATGTGTATATTCCGATTTTTGAAATTCATTATGACATTGTAAGCAGATTTAAATTATTACTCTAATTCTGTTCACACTGTGCAAACCAGCTGTATGTGAATTCTCTCTCAATCCGTAGCCTAACATCTAGTTGAACTAAGATTAGATTTGTTGTACTCAACGATGTTGATTGTACCCTGTGTTATTATGTAGATGGCATGTGCCCCATCTTTCCCTCCCCGTTAGTCCTCCGTGGTAGTAACTGCATTTAATTGTGTTTCTAGTCAACCCTTTGTAGAATGAACGGCTGTCATCGGGAAACCATTGAATGCTATTGATGAAGAGCTTCTCTATATAGAAACTGCACATTCTAGAAGTTAATATTGTAGTGGGTGGAAATGCTTGTTTGTTGTGTCAACCAAACCACGCATGTCTCGCTTGAAATGAGTGGGGTTGGTCCATAAAAACACAAATGGCGAATGGAATTTGATTACCAGTTTCGTTTTGGTGTATCAACAGTTTTTCAATGTATACCGTAATTTGGCATTGCCTTCCGGGTACCCTATTCCCTTCACGTAAGCACAGCCTATCGAATTTGTGGATTGAATAAAGTCTAATTTTGCATGGAATGTTAATCCCTATGCCTACACCCATCTCTGCCAACAGAGCAGTAATTCATTTGTTAATCATGATATGATGTGTCCGTATTATTAATTTAAACAATCTTATGTTTATTATTGTTTTCATCATTGATTACATTATTGTTTTCATCATTGTTTTCATCATTGTTTACATCATTGTTTTCATCATTGTTTTCATCATTGTTTTCATCATTGTTTACATCATTGTTTTCATCATTGTTGCGTTCAATACCGTTGTGTACATAATTGCTTGTGGGTTAGTGTTGAGTTTCTTATTGTTGATATTTATCGTTATTCTGTTTATCATTGCCATGTTCTTTATTGTATTAATTTCTCTGCATATTATTGTTGTGTTCTTCATTGCGTTCATTGTTGTTGTGTTCATCTGTGCGTTGTCTTCATCGTTACCGTAGCCGTTACAATATCGTGTTAAATGTTATCGTAAACATTGATGTGATTCATTTTTGTTTCTTCTCAGTTACATACGTGCCTAGCCAAGATTCTAAATTCAGACAATCCCCGTGATTGTGTGTGACCCCCACGATATGTGACGAGCTTGTAGACCGACATTTCTTTGAGTATGTAGATGTTATACACTGTTGACTGTTCTCTAAGAGCTGCGTTATTTTCACTTTATTCTTCATATAGCGTTAAACTATTAGGCGAATTATTTAAAGCTGCAGCCGCCTTTTGGTGCATGTCTTTTTATTTTATCTGATAGAATATCTGCCATTCATTCTAGCACGTTAGCTGAGATGTAAAATGCAAGTAGGATGTACACGTATGTGTTCATATAAAAAGTGCAAGTGCTTGTGGTGGCATGTGTATTTTTGTATAAAACCATTTTATGTAAAAAAATATGTGAATATTGTATTGAATTGCGTTTTCAGTGTTCAAATTATTGATGATCATTTATGCTGTTTTTTTTAATGTATTTCTGTCACTTTTATTCATCAACTGTGTCAATGTATCACTATCACCTTGTAGATTACTGGCTTACTGTTGTGTTGACCTCAATACTTTGCTCTCGCTTCCTCTATTTCTACCTCTATCTCTATCTCTCTCTTCCCCCTCTATCTCTCTTAGTTTCTCTCTTTCGCTCTCTTTCTATTTCACTCTTGCTTCATCGCTCTCCTCTCTATCTGCTTTATCTTTTGCGCATTTCTCCTTCCTGCTCTTGCTTTCTTTCGCTAGCTACTTTCTTTCCTATTCATTTCTCGTCTGCACATGCCGTTGAAGCAAAGCAGCATGACCTTTCCGATTCTTTTTCCGACTTTAATTTCGGCTTTTCTGTTCTTTATATTTTAGGTCTGTTAAATATCAAGGTCTCTGATTTCTTTGGGTGAATTCTTCTCGCCTTTGGGTGAATGTGAGCTGACGTCACACATCTCTCTGCGACGCGCATTCCAGACGAGTTGGTCTACTGTGGTGCCGCTTCATGCACGTACTTCTGCCTTTAGTTATCACGTTCTGCTGCTTTGACTGATCGATCGCTTGAAGAAAGTTTGCATGTCGCAGTGCGCGTTCACAGGCACTTGGGACAGAGTCAGTCCAAATACTGAAAAATAATATGAACGCACATTGACAAAAACTACCCATTGATGCTTTATTACACTTCTACTGTTGTGTCACTGTATATCAACTTGGTTTCACAAAAACTGATGTGGAACTAGGCGCTCGTAACGGCGGTTCAGCAGGTTTGCATGTTGCAGTGCGCGTTCGTTCGCGTTCACCTCATTTCCTCCTCGAGCTACTTATTGTAAACGTACAACGACCAGTTCGCTGTTTGCTCTGGAGCCTTGGAGCTCGATTCACGAAGCGATCGTCTATAGCATTGATGGCAGGTTCGATGTTCAGTTGTTCGTGTCGAGCATCTCCCGCTGCCGTCTTGTGTTAACGCAAACGTTCGTGCCGCCTCCACCGATATTGAGATTTTCCGGAACGGCTTGTAGTCATGGTGGTCGGTAATGAGTGGTGTTCGCTGTACGCTGTTGTT